CCTGGGGCAGAGCAACAACAACAAAAACCAAACTCATTGCCATCAGTTGATTCCAAGTCATAGTGACCCCCTTTGGGTTTCTGAGGTGGTAGATCTTTATGCAAGTAGATTGGCCTGTCTTCCTTCCACAGAGGGGTTGGTGGGTTTGAACCACCAACCTTCTGGTTAGCAGTCAAATGCCTTAGGCACTATGCCACCAGAGTTCCTTCTGGGGCAGCACAGGGGTCCAGAAAAGGCTGCTTCCCCAGGTCTGATCACACAGAACAATCCCACAGCTCCGGAGCCAGGTTGGCACCCCGGTCCCTCCTGGCCCTGCCAGAGGCCATGGCGGCACCATGGCCTGGAGAAGCTGCTCCCTTCTCTGCCGCTCATGTCCCCCCACTTCCTCATTTGTAAAATATGAGGGTTTGGGGAAGTCATCACTGAGGCCCTGGTGGTTTCAGTTACTTTGCAGAAGTTAAGAAAAAGGGGAAATGAATCTTCCTCTCTCCCTACCCCTTCACCCCTCTCCCCTGCCCCCTTTAGGGAGTTTCAGTTGACAAGGAAATAATCTGAACTCATGCTAAAGTGTTATTGGCTGATACGTGTGAGTCTGAACCTCCCTCTCCTGCCTGTTACCCTGTGCTGTGTGTGGTCATCTTAACCAAACCTCCTCCCCCCACCTGAGAACCGTTGCAGAAACCAAACTCACTGCCATTGAGTCGATTCTGACTCATAACAAACCCCATTAGGTTTTCAAGACTATAAATCTTTATGGAAGTAGATCACCCCATCTTCCTCCTGCAGAGCAGCTGGTGGGTCTGAACCGCTGACCTGGTGGTTAGCAGCCAAATGCCTTATTCACTAAGCCACCAGAGCTCCTTCCTGAAAACTTTCAGGTCTGTGGAAAGGGCGGACAGTGCTTCCCAAGTCCCCTCCGCGGCCCTTACCCAGTGGCACACGTGAGGACTGCTGTCCTTGGCAGAGCCACCTCTTCGTCTTCACAGCTTAGGACCCTGCAACATCATGAGAAGGGCTTTTATGCCCGCCATGGCTGGCCCTTCTTACCTAGACCCCACAAGGGACAGAGGTGTGCTGGGGACACAGCACGGCTGCGACAGTTGGGGCTGGGAGGTTGGATTCTGCCGAGCCGACTGGCCCAGGGCCCAGGGTTCTGGCTCCAGGGGTTCCCAGGCTACGCTGTGGGGCTTCTTCCTTCAGGACCACGTGGGGCTGAGAGGGGGGGTCTCAGCTGGAGTCCAGGGGCCACCGAGTCTGGGCTGGGGCTGGGTTAGCCCTGCTCCTGTCCCACTGGTGACCTGGGGAATGGAGGCGAGGCTGTCGTCAGGTGAGCCTGGTGTGTCCTGCTTCTGCAGCGATGGCCTCCCCGCTGCCCCAGCCACATGGGCCCGTCACTGGCACAGACTAGGCTCGCTGGAAGTGCTGGGAAAAAACCCCCTGCAGACCCCCGACTATGGCCGTGCGTTGAGGTGGCACTTCCGGGGCTTTCGCCTTACACAAAAAGGCCTTTTAAGGAGAGAGAGACTCAGGGAGGAAGCTGTAGTGGGAGCAGTGTGCATGCATGTGTGCAAGGCAAACACGGATGCGCCTGTCAGAGCAGTGTGTGCGAGGTGAACGAGCATGTACATGAGCTCTGATGGCAACGTGGTTCAGGCATCAGGCTGCTAACCAGGCTCCATAGGAGAAAGATGAGGCAGTCCGCTTCCCTAAAGATACACAGCCTTGGAAACCCCATGGGGATTGCTATGAGTCGGAATCAACTCAATGGCAGTGGGTTTGGCTTCGTTTTATGGAGGGAATAATGTACGTGTGTGTGTGTGTGTATGTGTGTGGCAACAACGTGCACGTGCGGACACAGTAATGTGCTTACATGTGTGCAAGGCTGAACACACAGGTGAGTGTGGCCTCGGTGTGGGCTTTCTTTTTCTTTCTCAGCAAACGTAGACTGAGGACCCACCCTATGTTCTAGGCTTTGGGGAAATAGGCCTGGGCCCTGCCCTATATGTGCACAGGTGTCTGTGTCTGTGGGGAAGTGAACTTCCCAGGACTCCCTGCCAGCAGTGGAAGCAGATGAGTTGTGTCTGGGTGAGCAAGAGGCGGGCAGCTCAGCACAGGCCACCAGGCAGTGAACTCCTGGGCATGAAAGCAGGCCCCGAGAGGCTGGTGGTGTGACCTTGGGCCAGCTGGTCACGGAGCCCCAGCTTCCTCGGCGAGAACGGCCAAGGTGTAACCCCGGCCAAGGTGATTCCATCTCCCTATCCCCTCTCCCCCTCGGCCTGGGCTCTAGCTCAGCACTTGTTCAGTGGGGCCTAGCTGGAAGCCCTGATGAGGGAGAGGAGCCCCCCATGCTAGCCATGCGGAGGAGCTCCACCCAAGCAGGCGGCCTGGCTGCGAGACCATGGGGGGCCACCTGCCGCAGCGGGGCAGTGGAAGGGGGCCACCAGCTTCTAGTGTTCAGGGATCTGGGTCCTGCTTGAGCCAAGTCACCCTCCCCTGCACCTGATGGCTGTGTGGCTGGGCAGGTGGCTTGCCTCCAGGCCCAGGGCTGCCTGGAACATTAAGAGCAGTGATCCGTGTGCCACGTGACTGAGTGTCATGAGGCCGTGGTAACAAGCACCACGGAGTGGGGGTTTCTAGGAACAGAAGCACATTCTCTCGCTGCTCTGGAGACTAGAAGTCTGCCGTCGGGGGGTCAGCAGGGCCATGTCTAGGAGAAGCTCTAGGGGAAGACCTGTCTTGTCTCTTCTAGCCTCAGATGGTCCCAGTGTTCCTCAGCTTAGAGATGCCGCCTAACTGCTGCCACAAGGTCATCTTCTCTCTTCCGCGAGGATGGGGTTAGGACCACTGCACTGTACCCCAGCTTGACCTCATGTTAACTGTAACACCTTCAGAGACCTTATTGCCAAACACGGTCACGTTCACAGGGGTTAGGACTTCAACATAACCTTTGTGGGACACAATTCAGTCCATTACAAGGTGCTTACAAGAGGCCCTGGCCAATGAGGCGCATTCAGGAAATGTTAGGTATTACTCTTTGAGATGTTTTTGTAGTTGAGAACTCACTCAGCCGAGTGCTAACAGCAGTAGAGAAAATTGCTCATGAAGTATTTACCGAGCACCTCCTTAGGTGCTCCGTGTGTCGGCACCACAGAGATGTGAACAAGATGGAAGAGGTCAGGCTGATTGGATTCTGGCAGGGGAGAAAGGGAACCCGCAAAGTGAAGAAGTCCACTGTCATACAGTGAGACCTGGGTAGGGTGAGTGCCTGTCAGAGAAGAGAAACACTTGTTTGCCACTAAAACAAGTGACAGAAAAGGGGTAAGATGTCATCCTGTCAAAGGTGGAAAACTTGCGAGACCTGGAATAACAAAGCCATCCCGTGGCATTTCAGCTCCCACAGGTTCCACTGTCCATGTCAGGTGGTAATTCTCTAGGGCAGTCCCAGGGCAGGAGGCGGCTGCAGCTTCAAACTGAGTGGTCAGGGAAGGCTGCAGTCACAAACCTGAATGACCGTGGTGAAGGCCAGAGCTATGCAGTGTCTGGGAACAGTGTTGTGGGCAGAGGAACAGCACATGCGAAGGCCTGAGGCAGGACAGTGTGTCAGGCTGGGAAAGTGACCCCTAAACAAATGGTGGCCTAGTGCTAGGCCGGTAGCCTGGAATAAGAGTGGCCATTTCCGTGTAGCGGCTGGGATCTTAAAAGCTTGCAAGCAGCCATCTAGATGCAATGATGGGTCTCTCCTCATCCAGAGCAAAGAAGAATGAAGAAAACCAAACATGCATGGAAACAATTAGTCCTCGTGACCGGTACACCGTGCGATCCTCAGCCTATACGACTATGAGACCAAAAGAACTAGATGGTGCCTGGCTACCATTGTCAACCACTCAGAGAAGGATCTATGGAGGAGATCCTGGATAGAGAGGGAGAACAATGTGGAACAAAACTCAAAATCATTTGGAAAAAAAAAGGGGGGAACCAGGTTTGCTGGTCTGATACAGCTTGGTGGAACCCCTGAGACTATGCCCCTAGCTGCCCTCCAGGTCTGGTATTGGACCCACACACCTGTGGCCTCCAGCCAAACAAAAGACAGGCATATGAGTTGAACATGTACCTGAGGTGGATACACTCCTTGGAGAGAACAATCATGGGATAAAGAAGGGCTGTCTATGCACAGGGAGACAGCTCGGGGGCAGAAGTGCATGGAGGGATGGACACAGGGAAGAGGTAACTATGGGGAGGAAGTGGGAGGGGAGCTGTTGCATTGTAGTCAATGTCATGAGACAACGTGTGTGAAATGCTGTATGGAAAGTGCTCTGTAAACTTTCACTCAAATCACAATTAAAAAAATAAATAAGTAAAGAGCAGTCATTTCACAAACACCTACACCTGGGCCATCCTGGGGGTTTTCTGAAGTCCTCCACTCCCAGGTGGGAGCCAGGCCTACAGGCCTTGAACCCAGGGACAGCAAGTGGGTTTGCAGAACTGAGAATCAGATATGCCTGTCTGTCCACCTGTGCCCTCATGCACAGGCCCCTGCAAAGCCACCACCTCCCCACCCTACCTCACCCAGTCTCGGCAGATGGGGTGAGCAGGGGAGACCAGGCTCTGGACCTGGAGGGGCCGTGTGCTGGGTGCCCTTCTAGGTCATTTACGGGGATCAGTTCATCTAATCTTGTGAGGAGGTTGAGCCAAGGGTAATGGGTGGTGTGACTGTCTACCTCGGGGTCCCAGCCATACCTCACTCACCTCATGCATGGGAATGCCAGCGCCTGTAGCACCCCCCCACAGGTCCAGCCCACTGTTCCCTGGGTCTTGGAGAGACCCCAGGAAGGAACCACCAGCAGGCTGGAGTCCAGGGGGAGGGTGGACAGCACCAGGATGATGCTTCCCTCACACGGAGGAGCTTCCTGGTGTGGAGCAGGGTCAGTCAGGCAGGCCTGGCCACCACAGTGTCTGGCTGACATCCATACCCCTTCTCTCAGACACAGGAGGGGGGCATCATGGCCTACCACAGCTTCTTGGTGGAACCCATCAGCTGCCACGCTTGGAACAAGGACCGCTCCCGTGAGTGCCTGCTGGGCTCTGGGGGTAGGGAGAGGCGGGCACAGGCCCCCTGGAAGGAGCAGGCAGCCCCAGAGGGCACTGCATGGGGCTAAAGCAGCCGGGAGTTGTGCCCACTGAGCCTCAGCCTCTGGGCTGGCCCTGTGTGCGGCGTTGACAGGATGCCCTGGCCCGTGGGCTCCACGAGTGGCTGACTGTCTCTCACCCGGGTCCTGCACGGGACAGTGCTCCCCAAGCATTTATATAAAGTGTGAACAGACACCCTGGGGACAGGCAGGGCTGGTGGGGAACCAGGCCTTGTGGGGGAAGGAGCGGCAGGTGCAGAGGTGTGAGTGCAGAGTGGGAGCTTGAAGGCATGAGTGTGGAGGTGGAGGTCTGAGCATGGTGGTGTGAACACATAGCTATGGACATGGAGGTGTGAACACAGCAGAGTGAGTGCAGTGTGAATGCAGAGGCATGCACGTCGAG